CCCGGGGAGGCAGAAAGGCAGGGCGGTGGAGGGGGCAGGCTGGCCCCTCGGCTGGCGGGGAGGGGGGAACGCGGGCAGGCGATGGCTCGCTGGTCTGGGGGGTGTGCTGGGCCCGGGAGCGTCAGGTCCCGCGGGGCACGGCCCCTGCCCCCTGCCCGGTCTCACCTTATTGCAGTGCTCTCCCACCCGCAGCCGCTGCGCGGTACCAGGGAAGCTGTGAGGGTTCAGCTTACCACGCACCCCAGTATCACTGAGGGGCCAAAGGGGTGCACAGCTGAACAGCCGGTCAGGGTCTCTCCTGGGCGCTGCCGCTCTGAGACACGCTGGAAGGTGGTCCTGGGGCCTCGATGGAGTGAAGGGAACCACACCGTGTTTCTGCCAGCTCCGTAGATGCCTCTTTCCCCATCAAGGCCATCGATGGGACCGACCTTTCATGGTCTTTCCCTGCTTACTCTGCCCCTCGTGGGAGGGCACTGGGAGAGAGGTAGCTGCTCAGTACCCAAAGCAGCACATCACTAACGTGCTGGCCCAAGCATCTCTCCAGACCATCCCTTGTGACCTGCCTGCCGGTCCCCAGCTCAGCCATGCTGCAGCCCTTCTCCTTGGACCAAGCTGCGGTATCAGACTTTGCAGACATGACTGCTCCCTTCCCCACATCCGCCTCCTTTTCTTAGGAGGTGAGCTGAGGCAGGGGCCAAGCCAATTCTCCTCTGGAGTTAGCAGTCAGAAAGGCGAGTGCCATGCCAGAAGAATCGGGCTGTGGTGGGGAATGAAGCCGTTTTCCCACCCTTATTCTGGAAGAAGGTTGCTGAAAGCAGGGCTGGCACAGGTGGGGTTGCAAGGCAGGAGGGGCTGGTTTTTATGAGCTGCTTTGAAACCAGCTCTCTTCTCAAGAGATCGGTGCATTTAACTCACACCCTGCCAGCAGTTTCCTGAACATCTGCAGAGGTTTTGAGGAGGCTGGCAAATGTGGCAACATGGAATCTCCCCTGCCTGCTGCATACACAGCAACAGGTACTGCTCTGGGTGGTGAGGAGTCTGGACATGCTGGGCTGTACGTTTGAGCCCAGGATGCAGAAATGGATCATGACAGCTGGGCAGGTAGCAAGGCCAATAGCCTCCCCCCATTGCTGGGCCTTTAAACTAAAGCTGAAGAAAGCTGCCAAGAAAAACTTCACTGTAAAAAAGATGGGGAAGGACCTAGTTGTGCATCAAGTTTGTAAGTCTGAGTTATGGGACTGTGATAAGCAAACCAGGGCCTGGTAGAAACCTTAAAGAACTAGCTGTGGAGTGAGCAATGCTGCTTTTCTTCAGCTGTTTCTGGCCAGGAGCTGGGGTCCCCAGGGCAGAGCAGCATAAGGTATGGTGAAACCCTGTGCAAACTTTCATTCTTTCCATTTCCAGCCATTCGCAGTCCCCTCTTGTTGCCTTCTTGGGCTGGAGACCAGGAGACAAGTGCTGGCCATGCAGGAGAGCAGGGATGCATTGGTGCACATCAGTCTCAGCAGTGCCCATGCTTGATCCCTTTGGGCCCTTTCTGAGGGATGTGGGGGAAATGGCTCCTTCCCCAGCTCAAACAAGCAGCAGGCTGTGTTTGCAGAAAGGGGCCTCATGCTGAGGGAAGGAGGAAAAAGAGGGAGTGTGACCAAACCAGGTGCATTTCCCCGCAATCGCTCAAGCTTTTTACCTCTAAAAATGTCACAAGCTAATTTATGGCATGTCAGCTCTGCTTTGACCATTCCATCTTTGGTCAAAGCCTGCTCCTTGGGAAACTGATAGTGCATGGTGCAGCACTGCTGCACATGGGAGAGAGATGACGTTTTCCTTGTTGAGGTGTGTGGCAGGTAATCATTAACAGAGCCAACTGCTGTCATCCCAGCTCTGCTTAGCTGGGGCTGGGCTTGCATGGCCTTCTCCAGCCTGCACCCATGCACCCTGTGCATATATCCTCAGGTGTGTTTCCATCCCACAGGAGGGCAGACAGACCTCCAAACCTCCAACACCTGACTAAAAGGGAGAAAGGGGAGATGCCGAGGCCCTCTGCCCCAAAGCTACACTGCCCCTTTCCTAACACCCCTCATCACAGTGATTATGTTACAGCTTCTCTTCCCCACCATATACCTGACACTGGGTCAGGTGGAAAACTCTAATTGCCATGGTTACTGATAATCCTCACTGTTGAGACATGGGCCAAGTGCTGGGGTCTGGGCACTGAAGCAGATTGGGCCCCCCCCTCCCAGCTGCATGTAGGCTGGGTCCCAGGGGAGGCCAGGACAATTTGGTGTGCCTTACACCTGCTACGGATCCCCACTGTTAGCTCTGGGCAGAAGCTGAAAGGTTGAAAACCATAAAGAGAGGCAGAGGGGTGGAAGGGGCAATGCAGCCGGGGAAGGAGGCTGCTTCTCCAAGCAGAGAGGGGGCAGCAGGAGCTCCAGGCAGGCTGCCAAACTGCCCTCGGGAATCCCAGTTCAAGGTACGAGTATAGCTCCTCATCACCCAACATGTCCATCTCTGGCTCCATCATCAGCATGCTGTCAGCCAAAGTGATTACCTCCTTTCTCCAAAGGAAACTATGCAGGAGAGATGGTGCTGGCCACAGTCATCCTTGTGAGTCTGGGGCTGGAAGCAGAAGTGTCCCTAATCCTCTGCTTTTGTAATTGGAGAGCAGTCCTCCCACCAGAGTGGCAGAGATAATCCCTGCCCTCAGTGCTCAGCACCAGCCACAGGACCAGCAGGAAAACAATAGAAATAGCCCCTGGCAGGCTCATCTCCTGCAGAGCAGCATGGCTAGGGACAGCTCACCACAAAAAAAGGCCAACAAATGGTTTTAAATTGGAGGCTGGATGCCACTGTATTTACCCACCACCCACTGATTGCTGTGGGTTGCACAGGGCAGGGCAGGGCAGCTGCTGGGGCTGCTGCCTTTGCCCCGGGGAGCAAGAGCAGGCTGCCATCTCCTAACTCACAATTCCAAGCCCTTCTGGATCACTTAGGATGGCAGTGCGCTTTCTCCCCCTTCCATGTTACACTGAGTATACAGCGTTACACAGAATGGGGGAGAAGGTCCCTAGGGACAAAGACCCCATATCCAGCAGAGTTCCAGAGGGATGCTGTGCAGGGAAGTGGACAAGGACCTGGGCCCACAGGGAACGCCCAAGAGTACCCCCAGGTTAGGATGGGGGTAGGGGCCTTGGGGTATGACCTTGTTTGAGCTGTGCAGAGCATCACTGGTGCAGTACCCACTGCATTCTTGTGGATGCAGCAGGAGACAGGAACTAAAACATCAATCTCTTTATTTCAATGGCAAGAAACAACAACATCCAAACAGTCAAAGTTGAAAAGCAATAGGAACACAGGCTCATGCCAGGCCCTGGGCCTGCTGGAGCCAGCATCCTCACAGAGTTACAAAAATACAATCCTACAACAGCGTCTAGGAAACACAGACCCAGGTATTGCACAGAACCCCTGCCCTCAGTGAGCAGGGCAACCAACGCCCCCTCCGTCTTCAAAATACCAGCAGGCTTGGAATTGCACAGCAACTCAGCTCACGCATGCACGGAGGGGCCAGGCGGGGAGGGGGACAGTGTGTCTCTCAACTACCTGTACAAAAACTATAAGGGAGAAAGGGAGAAGCTGGCGCTGTAGATGCCTCTGAGCCAAGCTGGGCGTCCCATCTGGGGGAGCAGTAGTGTGGACCTCTGAGAAGATGACAGTGCCTTGTTTGTCACTGGCCTGCCAGCAGTGCTGATAGGAACTCTGGGCACTGCTGGAGCATCCCAACTCTGAACGCATTAAGATGCTATCGTTATTAACTGCCAGTACTGCCACAAGCCCCTGCCACTCTGCACTGCCCTCTGCCTCTGTTCCCCACTACAGTATCCCCCATCCTCAAAGGGAACTCTGCCCCTGGCCAAAAAACCTGAAGAGTATTTTGGTTCTCTGGGGTATAATTACCTTTTTTTGGTATTGGTATTAGGAGAGATTCAAATGGTGCCATCTGGCACTACCCAGTGGGCGCAGCTGGGTGTAAGCGCAGAGGGACTGTACAGACCCCACGCGGCAGCAGCAGTATCCTCTCCCAGCATCCAAGCTGTGAACAGCAACCCACTTCACTGCTCACCTGAAAGTGCCAAGCAGGTTTGCCAGGCCCAGAGCTATCAGCTTTCCTCCTCTGCTGGCACCTCCTGGTCTCAGAGAATGCCAGTTCTCTAAAAGCCTTGCTGAAGGGCTGGCTTGATGCCTCTGCATCAAGTGTCCACTGCAGGGGAGATGGGTTGTGGTGCCTTATGCTCCACGGCAGGCCCCCCTGCAGGCGTGACTCAGGGCTGGGAGCCCATATGCTTCCCAGGTTCCTTGTTCTGCTAAAACTGGAGATAGTGAGCTGGTGGCCTGCCCAGGGACTTTGTGCCTTGGCTGGGTGAGCTCCAAAGTTTTCCCTGCAAAGTCCTGTGCCCAGTATAGGGAATGGCAGGAGTTAGACTCAGAAGATGCATGTTGCCAGGTTGAGGGGCATGGGGGGGAATCCCTGAGAGCAGCACTGACCCCAGCATTGCCCCTCCAGCCCCATGCACAGACTAGCATTGAAGGGGAAACTGAACCAGGGAGGGCAGCTGAATCCAAGTCAGCATTTGGGAAATATAACAGGCTTCACCACAAGCACTACTCAGGGTCAAGTGCAGCTCTCCACCATGGCTACATGCTGCAGTAGGCTCACAAAGAGATGCCCAGCAGACACTGGGTGTGCAAGCTGTCCCACCCAGCTCTGTGGAGGGAAGGATGGTGTGACGGCTTGGTAGCCTTCCTCTGTGCCATCCATACCCTGAGCCAGACTGCTGACTGGCTGAGCACTAAAGGCAATCAGGAGGGCACCAGCTGCCCTGCTTCCAGCTGCACCAGTCCCAGATGCTCTGAGGAAAGGCTGGGTGTGACTTCCCTCCTGCTGCAGAAGGCTCTGGGTAGGGCAACACAGAGAGCTGGGGCAGACCCAGGAGCAAGGAAGAGGCAGGGGCAGTAAGTTGTGCTGCTTCCCTTGCAGCAAAATCTGAGGCTCATGGCCTCTGCTGTCTGCCTGCAGAACCTGTGCCTCCTGCAGCTGTGCCAGACAGGAGAGGAGGAACAGGACATGAACCTAGCCAAGCACCTAAAAGAGGGGCACTGCCAGCAGAGAGAGGGTCTGAGGAATGATATCCCACAAGGATCATAGGCAGGAGCCTGCAGAGGGGGCACTGGCATTACTCCCGAGCACAAGAGTGACTGGGGGATTCAGCCTGGCTTGCCTCAATATGGCCAGGGGATAGAGCCCATCTAGGGCAGGGAATGTGGTGAATGAGAGGTGAAGGAGTGGACACACAAAGAATCAGGCTTCAAGTCCGAAATACCCACTGTCCTCATAAACAGAGTCCCAGCCCAGCCTGGGGCAGAACTCTGCTGTATCCATCTCCAAGGACCAGGCTGACATCTAGGGAGAGTTGGGCCAGATTCATAGCTCTGCCAGTTGGCATTGTCCTCTTGTCCTGCCCAAGCTGGCTTGGGCTAAGGCACGCCAAGCACTACACAGCTGTCTCCTGGTCCTCCCGCTGGATCATCTGGTAGTGCTGTCGGTTCTCGAGGTAGGCAGCTAAGTCAGGGTCATTGGCTTTCTCAGCACGGTGCTTTGGGGTGTCTCCCTGCATAGGGGAGGCAAGAATTCAGTGCTAAACACTGCCTAAATACTGCCTTGGCACCCAAAGGTGCCCCCATTCCCCCATGCAACTGGGTCCAGCAGAGCCTGCAGCCAAGCCCCAAGGCAGGTGGTAGCCAAATGCCCATGTGCTCACCATGGGATGAGAGTGTGGTCCTGAGGAGCCTGACTGCTGCAGGACTGGAAACTGTCCCCTGAAGGGCCATCAGCTCCAGGCATGGCTAGGACAGAGACTGACCCTGGCCATCACCAGCCACCCAAGAGGAGACAAAGGCTGTTCCCCAGGACCTGCTCTTTCCCTACACTGGGGAGGCAGGAGGGAAAGGGTGAGGAATGAGGGGTATGTCTGGGGAATGCCCAGGAATACCAACCCCCCTTCCCTCTCTCAGCCTGGCTAGCGCTCCTGCTCGCTCCTGCTCCCGGAGGAGGATCACATTTCACCAGCTTATTGCAGCCATCTGGACTGTGTCCACTAATGAACTCCCGCACTCCATAAAAAGCAAATCTGTTAACAGCTCCCAGCTCCATCTCCACTCCCTCCCCTTGCTCCTCCTCACCAAGTGCCCAGGCTCTGCCTCACCACTGAGAAAAGCCACAGAAACCTGGCACTCTGCCACTGCCATTGAAAACCAAGGCTGAAAGGGACACCCGGCCTGCCCCACTCATCCCCTGGTGCCCAGCAGACCACGGGCAGCTGCAGCAGGGTGCTTGGTCCTCCAGAGCAGCCCACAGCCACATTTCTCCATCAGGAACAATGATCAGACATGTGGAACCTCCACTGGGCCTGGATAGGAATGCCCACAGAAGCCCACCCGTGGCTGCAGAGGTGTCATGCACCAAGAAATCCCCTCTTTCGCATGTGCGCCCCAAGACTGGGCACACCCCATGGTCCTGCACACATCCCCCAGCAGCCACACCATCAGGGGGACGGAGACCACTCTGTGCTTCGGTGCTGGCTCTCCTCAGGGACCTCCTCCCCACAGCCCCTGAATGCGATTTTAATCGCTCATTTAACAGAGGAGGAATTGAGCTGCTTTCCTGTCCCCCTGCAGAAGCCCCTCTGCAATGCTGCCTGCAGCCTGAAACCAGAGCTGCCAGGGCCTCTCTGCCCGGCTGGACTCAGGCATGCCAACTGATAAGGCTCAGCCTCCCTCACCACTGCAGGGAGTGGGATCAGCCCACTCTGAACCTGTGCTACAGGTCTCACGCCGGGGTTTCTAATGAGGTGGGTCCTGCCTGTGCAGGCAGGCTGTGACCCAGAGCCCATGTGAGGTCAGTGCAGCGGCGCAGAGGGGTCTCCAGACAGCTACAAACCCTGACATGCACAGGCAGGCAGCATGCCTGAGTGAGGCTCCCTTTTGTGCTGGCAGGCTGGGGGCTGTTCCCCTCCTTCAGGCAAATGAGGGGGCTGGGGACAGAGAGGGGCTGTGGCCCCAGATCTGCTGTCTCCTCATGTCTCTGCCAGCCAAGTCTCCATCCAGCCTAGCCCCACTCTGGGTGCAAAGCCTAAGCCTTAGACAGGACCAAGGAATAGCGATGGGGAGCCAGAGATTATCTGTACAGCATCTCCCTGGCAACTGGCAAACTGGGATTGTCTAAATTTGAACCCCACGCTCCACCAGCTCCAACAAGTTTGCACCCCTCAGCTGGGCTCTGAACCTGTGCCCCAGACCTGTCCAGACTGGACCTTCTTGGCTTGTTCTACATCTCTTCTCTTACAGCCCATCACTACAAGTCTCCATCAGACAGATCTGACCACATTCCCTCTGCTGCATGCCAGCCCTAGGAACCTCCTGTACCAAAATATGGCCTCAAGCCCCCCATTCTGCGGCATCTCTGCCAGGGCTGGCACAATTCTCTGATGCCAAGGCACAGCTCAATTAACACAGCATGTAAGGGAAAGTGCTGCCACTGCCTGCTCCTGCTCCCCATGGGCCAGCTTCACCCGCTGAGAGGAGCTCCCAGCTCTCCCATCATGACTGCCTGTGGGGGAGAGTGGGGGGAGTCCTGCAGCTGGGAAGGAGCCTGCAGAGAGAATGTCCTTGCTCTGACCCCGGAGGGTGGGAAGGGGGAGACAGGGATGAGACATTCCAGCCCCTTGCTTCTAATTTAATAAAACAACAGGGAGAGAAGTGCAGCGAGGAGAGGGATTTAACCCCTCTGTAGCTGGACCCTGCTGGGCAAGCATGTGTGCTCCATGTCAGCTCCTCTCTGGCTGGCAAACACCCACCCAAAGCACCCTTGCTCTGCTCTCCTGCTGGCCCTGCTCCTGCCAGCCCTCTGGTTACCCCAGAAAGCCCCAATGCCACCCCCTCCACTGTCACCTGCAGGTCTGTCTTCATGAGCGAAGCCCCGGCCTCCACGATGTAGTGGCAGATAGTGCGCTGGCGTAAGGCTGCAGCCTGGTGCAAGCTGGTTTCACCGCTGGGGAGGAGAAAGCGGGAGATGTGAGATGTCCCCCCAAATGGGGACAAGCAGCACATGCGGGTGGCAGCGAGAGACAGCAATTCAGCGGCAGCAGAAGCTGATGATGGGTTGTGTGCTTGTCCAGGAAGCCCTTGCAGAAGAGGGGGTGATACACAGGGGCAGTCAGTCCAAAACGGACTGGGAATCGTGGCTGGTAATTAGAGCACGGGCAGCTGAAATGCCCAAATGACTGGTCACCTCGCAGAGGGTCTGGCCAACAGGTAACGCAAGTCGGTCAGCAACTTACTTCTCCTCCTCTGTAGCATCAAGGATTTCTGAAGGGGCTGCGGAAAGAAAGAGTGCAGGGTGAGTGAGACCCGCTGCAGGGCACAGACAGACCTACCTACTCCCTAGTCACATTCTGCATTGTTCCATAGAGGCTGCTATTTTCATGCTGCCTGACAAAGTCCCAACTCCAAAGCACTCAAGTCAGCAACAGCATCCGAGCCCAGCTGATCCCAGGGAAGAAGTGTTGGTTGTGGACTCATTATAGAGAAATATCTAAATAAAGCAGCCTGTATTTCAGTGGGAGCTGAAAAAATTGGGAGCTGCCAAAAACAACAGGTCAGCTGCCCCGATGGCAGAAGCAGGACACTGAGAAATGTTTCTCAGAGACATGCTGGGTCCTGCCAGGATGCAGCAACAACCGTGGGGACACCCCAGTACTGGCAAACAGATGCCAGAAGGGTGATGTAGCAAACTCGGAGGGAAGGGATCTAAGACCAGGAGGACTCCCTCTGAGCAGAGGGTTGGGCTTTTTTGGCTGCCAGGCTCGTTTGCTAAAGGTGGCACTCTTGTCCCCAGCTCACCGTTCTCGATGATGTATCTGACGATGTCCTTGCTCCCTGATTTGACGGCATGGTGGAGGACAGTCTGGCCTGAGGAGTCTCGCACCATCAGGTCTCTTCCAGCTCGATGCAGCTCTTGGAACTACAAGATGCCCAGATTGCTCAGGATGAGTTGCCTTTCCCAGCTCCAAGACCCAAGCCCTGGCACTGTGTCCCTAAAGTGCCTGACAGGTTGTATGGATATTTGAGGCTGGTGGGGAGCTTTGTCCAGCTCAGCAGTGCTGCCAAGTCCCTTCCCTATGCGTCCCCCAGGAACAGAACACAGCTTCTTGCCAGAAGCCTGCCTGTTTTCCAGTCACCACTCCTGAAGGAAGGCCCTTGACAGGAGCTGCTTCAGGGCAACTGGGGTTCGCATGGCTGGTAGGGCTTCCCTTAGCCTGAGAGGCATGCCAGCTGAGACGGCTGCAGGGAGACTGCCCAGAGCCAGCCCTGGCTGCTCATCACAGCAGGCTGTGGGAGCACCTACCTTGCTGAAGTTGCCACCCTTGGCAGCTTCTATTAGAAGATCATCTGCAAAGAAGGGAGATGTGTCAGTGTCAGAAAAGTCAAGCTGTAACACCATTTACCTAATGCTGGAGACAAGGGTTAGGCACCAGAGGTGTGGAGCAGTCTGCTGAGGGTACAGCACAAGATTCTCCAGGTGCTAATCCCTTGGTCAGACATGGCTCCTCCACCTTCAGGAATGTAAGGGACAAGTCAGGGGAAAGAAGGAGAGATCACATAACTGGGGGTGCAGCGAGACTGCAGCCCCTGTGAGGTGTGTGTGCAGGGGGAGTAGTCTCTGCCCATGGGCAGGATAACTTGTGATGGAAGTGGGGAGCAGATCTCCCGGGCATCAGCCAGCGGCCAAGATACTCCTCACCAATGACTCACTCACACTTCCAGGCTCTGATCAAGCTTTGGGAAACTCCTTCCATTTGCTCAGCTTGGTGAGGCCCCTGTCCTAGTGTTCCCACCTCCCCAGTTGCCCCGTGGAGACAGCCTCCCAACCCAGCCTAGAGTGCTCAGCTCTGCAGGTGGGAGATACACCCCTTGCCACACCATTTCCTGCACAGTGGAGCCAGGAAGGTGCCTGGCTGGGCTGCTCCACTAATCACTGTCAGGTGTCTCCTGCCCACCTCTGGGGTCACCTGCCCACAGGGCTCCCTGCTCCCACTAGCACAGGGCAGCAGGGCTCCTACCTGCTCACCAGGGAAAGAACAGGCCAAAAAAAACATGGCAGGAAAACAAAAAAGCACGACCTGAGAGGGTGTGACAGGAGCTGGGACACAACTCACCTCTGTGTGGGAGGCAGCGCTCAGGCTCAGTGCTGGAAGGGAAGAAGGAAAGGTGTAACTAACTCTGCCAGTCTTGGCAGCAGATAACCCAGAAGTACACAACATGGGTGTGGAGAAACCTGCCTGTGGCACTCCTTCAGCAGGTAGGAGGAGAAGCAGACCAAGAGACTGCTCTTTGGCCATGCCATCTACTTCTTCCCTGATCTGGGTTCTTCCCCATCCCCACTCCCATTTCTACTGCTGCTCCTAGCTCCATTGCTCTTCCATACCTGAGGCTGGCCTTAGCTGGACTGAAAGACACCCATGTCTTTTGCCCCATGGGCCAGGTGCTGGAGCTTTACCCCATGCCTCAGCCACCTGGTGATGTTCCACTGCTTATAGCAGCACTGGCAGAAGAACAAGGAAGACAGGATGGCATCTCACCCTTTGGTTTAATTCAGCACTGAATTCCTGCTCATTTCCCAGGAGCCCCTCTGTAATCTGGCCCAGGGATCAATGTTGTGAAGCCAACCCTGCTTCTCTCATCACTGCCCATCCTTCCTGAGGTAACCCATTCCAGACTCACCTGGGGGCAGGAGAAGAGGGTGGAGAGGAGGAAGAGGAGGGGAATGCAAAGTGGTGCCCAGGGGGTGTGGCAGATGAGTCCACGAGGTCGGGCATGGCAGGAGAGGTGCTCACAGTCTGGGTGATCACTAGCTCTGGGTCCAACACATAGAGCTCATCCTGAGAGATCTCTGTCACGTAGTTGAGGTGCTCCTGAAAGACACAAGTCAGGCCTCCTCAGAAGCAAGACCGCATTCTGCATAGCTCCATTCCCTCACATCCCATGCCTTGCAGCCCACCCACTTGCTCAGCAAAGCGGTGGCTTGAAGAGTCCTGTGCCTGGGAACCTTCACATCTCCTTGTCCTTTTCAGGCTTCCTATCGCCTTGCCAACTTATCAACGCTGTAAACCCCATCTCCATATCCTCTTCTCCAGATCACTGGGGAAAGCATCTAATATTGGTGAAGATGACCCCAGTCAGTGAGTTCCCTGACCAGTCTTGCTATGTTTGCTATTCCTTACCCACTCCAATCCAGGGCCCTGTGGGCAGCTTCCAAGCCAAGGCTCTGTGCTACCAGCCACACTTTCTCCCTTTTCTCCAGGAACCTGGAGGTGTTAGGGCTGGTCCTGAACCAGGCATGTCATGCCATCCCTTGGGGGATGCCACAGGGCAGGGCAGCAGTGCAAGACCTGCGTGACCCCAAGTCTATGCCTGCCTGTTGGTCTGCATGAAGGTGGGACACCCAAGCACCTTTCCAGCAGACGCCAGGGGGATGATGGTGGAGGACGAGGCTGCACTCACCTGTGCACGGTCTATCCTGTAGAACCGATTGGCTGTGGTTGCTGTAAGACAGGGACAGAACGAGACAGGGTGATTCTTGGTGTGAGACAAGGGAGACAGCCACTTTCCACCACTGAGTGACAGTGAGCTATCCAGCCACTTCATGGCTTGCACAGAGGGCACAGCAAAGCAAACAGCACTCCCTGACCAGGAGCTAACAACTTCCCTTTGTGACTCTGCTGCTTTCTTTCCCCAAGAGGCAGCTCCTTGGGCCTCTGTGACCATCATGCCCCTGTGAAACATGCCTTTGCTTGCTATGCCCCCCTCAATGACTCCTGGCAGGGAGCCACAGGAAAGGCAAGAACACATCTAGCTGGTACCATGGCCTTTCTGGTGGCTTTTGCGAGCTCCACCATTATCCTAAGCAGATGAAGCTCAGGGCTGTGCAGTGCACATCTCAGCATTCACTTACACCAGGTGAGGAACTGCTCTGATTAACATGGTGCACCTTGTCGCACAGTGCTCAGAAGTGGGGGCACTACGGGGGGCTGGGAGAAGGGGGAGCTCAGCCTCCTGCTGATTTGACTGAGTAAGGTCCCACAGACTTCCATGAGGCCATGCAGAGCATGTGACTGCAGGCACAACCACCAGCTGTAGATCCAAGACCCCGTCTCCTAGGACGGCAGGAGAGCTTCAAACCAGCCTCCAGCCTATCTGAGTGGAGCCCTCTTCCTTAGAGAAGAGATCACCACAGGGGGAGAGGAGGTCCTAGAGAGCAAGTGGCTATGCTAGAGCCAGACGCATGCAGCCACCACTGCTGGGGGAGCAAGGCGGGGTTGGACTCACCAAGGACATCACCAAGGGAGAGCAGGACAGGTAAGAGCACAGTGCCAAGACAACTGGGTTCCCATGCAGGGTGTCAAGCATTTCCCCTATGTCCTGCCAGGCTGCTAGTGTCAGTCCAGGAGAGGTTGCTGCCATGGGACCCTTGGGGCCCCAAGGAAGTCTTTCTGCAAACAGTCAGGATGCACCAGAGCAGATGAGAGAAATGAAAGAGCCCCGTTTATCCTGTCCTCGCTGGAGATTTACAGCCAGGGAGCTACTGTTCAAGGCCTATAATTTAGCCACTCGAATGAGCCTGTGCTGCGTTGAATGAGGCTCTGGCCTCTGACATATCATCCAAAGCTCAGAACCTACTGCTGGGAGACTAGCAGGAGAAGAGGAAGTGGCCCTGGTACAGCAGTCCCGGTAGTCACACGTGGGAGCAGCAGCACCAGCAACCCCACATGCAGGGCTGGAACCTCAAAGGGAGAAATTGCATCCTCTCTGCCTAGTACGAGGCTTACCAGGCCCACCTTTCAACCCATGGCTGTGCTCTGCTGTGCTCTACGCCCTGCTGCTGGGAAGTCAGGGACATGAAGTGCCACCAATGGGCATTTCTCTCAGCCAGCTTCCAGGTACAGAGGGAGCCTCTTGGTCAGTGAAGGCAAAGGGAGAGGAGAAAGCTACTTTCTGGCAGGGAGGAAGAAGCAGCTGGAGCTCAGCAGGGAGCCTGATCCCCTAAAGCACTGGGATGCTGATGGTGAGCCTGGCTCCCAGCATGCAGAGCAGGGGGGCCCCCTGCCTGCATGACACAGGAGAGCAGCCCTAGCAGAACACAGGCTGCCAAGCTGCCTTCAGGTCCGGGGGTAGGAGACCAGCAGACATCCCTTGTTCACTCCTGGTCAGCAGCCAGAGACATGGCTTGGGGCAAAGCACTGCTGTGCTCGACCCCAACATCCATAGGTTCCAAGCATCACATGGCTCCCTGTGGCTTGTCACTGAGTATCTGTCCTCTCATCCCCCAGATTCACAGAATCATCAAATTGTTTAGGTTGGAAAAGACCCTTAAGATCATTGAGTCCCACTGTTAAACCAACACTGCCAAGTCCACCACTAAACCATGTCCCTAAGTGCCACATTTACACATCTTTTAAATACCTTTAGGGATGGTGACTCATCTACTTTCCTGGGCAGACTGTTCCAATGCTTGACCACCCTTTCAGTGAAAAAATTCCTCCTAATATCCAATCTAAACCTCCCCTGGCACAACTTGAGGCCATTTCCTTTTACCCTGTCACTTGTTACTTGGGAGAACAGGCTGAACCCCAACTGGCTACAACCTCCTTTCAGGCAGTTGAAGAGAGAGATAAGCCTTAGCCTCCTTTTTTCCAGGCTAAACAACCCTAGTTCCCTCAGCCATTCCTCCTATGGCTTGTGCTCCAGAACCTTCACAAGCTCCATTGCCCCTCTCTGGACATGTTCCAGCACCTCAATGTTCTTCTTGTAGCAAAGGACCCAAAACTGAACACAGGATTCAAGGTGTGCCCTCACAGTGCTAAGTACAGGAAGACAATCACTGCCCAAGTCCTGCTGGCCACACTATTTCTGACACAAGACAGGATGCCATTGGCCTTCTTGGCCACCTGGACACAATGCTGGCCCATATTCAGCCAACTGTTGAAACAGCACCCCCAGATCCTTTTGGCTGGGCACTTTTCCAGCCACTCTTCCCCCAGCCTGTAGCAATCCCTGAAGTTGTTGTGACCCAAATGCAGGACCTGGCACTTTGCCTTGTAGAACCTCATATTGCTGGCCTCGATCCATCAATCCAGCCTGTCTAGATCTCTCTGCAGAGCCTTCCTATCCCCCAGATCAACACTCCTGCCCAACTTGGTGTTGTCTGCAAACTGACTGAGGGGGCACTTGATCCCCTTGTTCAAATAATTGATAAAGCTAATAAACAGGACTGACCCCAATACTGAGCCCAGGGACTGGCCACCAGCTGTGTTTAACTCCATCCACCCCCACTCTCTGGGCCTGGCCATCTGGCCAGTTTTCTACCCAGTGAACAGTGCAGCTGTCCAAGCCACGAGCAGCCAGTTTCCTCAGGAGAATGCTGTGGGAAACGGTGTCAAAGGCTTTACTGAAGTCTAAGTAGACAACATCCACAACCTTTCCTTCTTCCACTAAGCAGGTCAACTTGACAAAGGAAGAGATCAGGTTAGTCAAGGAGGGCCTGCCTTTTGTAAACCCATGCTGGTTGGGCCTGATCCCCTGTGTTGCATGATGACACTCAGGATGATCTGCTCCATGACTTTTCATGGCATGAAAAAGGCCTGTTGGGCTGACAGGCCTGTAGCTCCCCAGATCCTGCTTCTGGCCCTTCTTATAGATGGGCATCATATTTGCTAACTTTCAGTCAACTGGGACCTCGTTAGCCAGGACTCCTGGTAATTGATTGAAAGTGGCTCAGTAAGCACTTCTGCCAGCTCCCTCAGTACCCCTGGGTGGACCCACCCAGTCCCACAGACTTGTGTGTGTCTAAATGGTGTAGCAGGTCACTAACCACTTCCCCTTGGGTTATAGGGATTTCATTCTAGTCCCTGTGTCTGTGTTCCAGCTCAGGGGGCTGTGTATCCTGAGAACAACTGGTCTTACTATTAAAGACTGACGCAAAGCAGGCATTAAGTACCTGAGCCTTTTCCTCATCCTTTATAACTATGTCTCCCCCTTCATCCAAAAAAGGATGGAGATTCTCCTTAGCCCTCCTTTTGTTGTGTATGTATTTGTAAAAACATTTTTTGTTGTCTTTCATGGCAGTAGCCGGATTAAGTTCTCATTGGGCTTTGGTCTTTCTAATTTTCTCCCTGCATAAGCTCATGACATCCTTGTAATCCTCCAGAGTTGTCTGCCCCCTTTCCCTTCTCCTGAGTTCCAACCAAAGCTCTGTCTTCAGCCAGCTTGGTCTTCTTCCCTGCCAGCTCATCTTTTGGTACATGGGGATGTACTTCTACTGAGCCTCTAGAATTTCCTTCTCAAAGCATGTTCAGCCTTCCTTGACTCCTTTGCCCCTTTAGGACTGACTCCCAAGAGACTCCATCAGCCGTCTCCTAAACAGGCCAAAATCTGCCCTGCAGAAGTTCAAGATGGCAGTTCTGTTGGCACCCCTCCTTAAGTCGCCACAAATCAAAAACTATCGTTTTGTGATCATGATGCCCAAGGTGGCTTCCAACTGTCACATCACCCACCAGCCCTTTCCTGTTCACAAACAGCAAGTTCAGCAGGCCACCTTCCCTAGTTGGGAAGGTATGTCAGGAAGCTACCTTCCACACACTCCAAAAACTTCCTAGACTGCTTCATCTCTGCTGTGTTGTATTTCCAGCAATCATATGGTAAGTTGAAGTCTCCCACAAGAACAAGGGCTGGTGATGGTGAGACTTCTCCCAGATGCTTACAGAATACTTCATCTGTCTCTTTATCCTGGCTGGAGTCTATAACAGATTCCCACCAGGATATCTGCCCTGTTGGTCCTTCCCCTGATTTTTACCCATAAATACTTAACCCTACTGTCACCATCACTAAGCCCTAGACAACTGAAACACTCCCTAAGATGCAGGGCTACCCCACTGCCTCCTTTCTTGCCTGTCTCTTCTGAAGAGTTTATAGCCATCCATTGCAGCCTGGTTGCGTGACTTGTCCCACCATGTCTCCATGATGGCAACTATGGCAGTTTCCTGCTGCACCATGTCTTTTCAGATCCTCCTGTTTTCTGCCCATGCTGCATGCACTAGTGGAGATGCACTTCAGTTGGGCTACTGATTCCACCACCTTTTCCACCACCCTAATTCCTATGCCCTAATTCTCAGGTGCCTCTGTGATTTCTAACCCACCAATAACCTTTGCATCTTTGCTGCCACATGGATCTCCCTCCTCTACTTCCACTGAGATGGCAGACCAAAGGACCTTGCTAATGCATCATCAGACACAGTCAACACTCCCAGGGAAGGATGATACTCACAGTCCAGGAAGCACCACTTGGGTGAAAGCTTCTGGAATGACAGTGTCTTCGGCTTGGCTCCATCTCCCTCCTGCATAAAAAAAGAGAGGACGAAGTTGTATCTTTTGGCCTCCCCATTTCTCTTCACAGCATCCCTCCTGCTTTGGGAGGTTCCTGCAGACACAGAGGACCACAGGTGCTTGGATGTAAAGGAGAACTTGAACACAGGCACAGCACAGAGCGACGGGGAGCAGAACGGGACAGAATGGAGCCAACGTGCACCAGCCCGCTGTGGAGAGGTGTCACAAGACGAGCCCATGAGACTGGCACAGTGGACATAACAGATGGGCCCAGTGGACAGAGTGAGGCCATACACACCTGAAAGAGCAGGCGCTCTAAAGCAGAGGGCTGTGTAGGGAAATCCTGCAGAAAGGCAAGGTGTGCTGTTACAGCCTGTGTCTGGCTGGCCCCCCAGCCCCTCTCTCATCCCATTGGAATTGCTTAATGTGCTGACATTCTGGCTTTACACACTGCCTGGCCAAGGTGCCTGGTCCCTGCCTGGCTTTAAGGTCAGAGCACAGTGGATGTCCAAGGAGAGAGAAGAGGTAAACCGTGAGGTGACCAAGGAACACCACCCTCAGTGCACAGTTTTAGAGATGCAGGAGGTTGCAGAGGCATCAGTCTACCACATTGACACTATAGGAAAGTGTTACCCTCTGAGCCCAGGAGCCATGTGCCTGCCTGTGTGTCTTCACCAGTGCCTGTGCACATGGTGGGCAGGGGACAGACATGCAGAGCAGGCAGAAAAAGAGGCAGATGACAGCGTGCCAGCCCAGGCAAGCAGCTCCACAACTCAGCCCTGCAGGACACTACGTACACGCTGGACAGGATTCCCTCAGGCACAAGAGCCAGCTAACTGGGGACTGAGCAATGTCCCTTCAATCTTCTGGGTGAGAATCAGATTGAGCAGTGCAGCATCAGAAGCCACACTATGGACTCAGAAGGCATTGCTCACCAGGAGCAAGAGTTACACAGTCTGTGTACAGGTCATGGACATGTGCTAGTGCATTGGCAAGACCACAAAAGTTAGCACTTTCAAATGAAAAGAGTTGGAGGGGTTAGAAACCTAATCCAGGCACCTGGAGAGGGCAGAGCTGTGCCAGGAAGCACAGAACCTGCAGAGGATTGAAGGGTGATAGGCCCCCACAGGATGGGTGTCTTTCCACTACTCCATAAATTTTCTGTGTCACTGACACTGGGCTTGGAGAACACAGTCAGAAGAGCAATGTCGAGAAAGAAGCTGCCAAACAGCAGGGAGCTACAAGCCATCCAGCTTGGGATCCTGCCTCCACCACATGGTGAAGGCAAACCACGACCTGAAGCAAGAGTGTGTGTGTGTGGGTGCATGAAAGTCAAGAAAGTTTAAAAATCCTTTCCCTGAACCCCTCCATTCTTGGCATCCAGCCACAACCACTTCCCACACAGAGACTCACCTCCTGCAGCTTCTCGATTTGTGTCCGGCACAACTCCAGGTCACTGTCTCCTGGAACCACGATGATCCCCAGTGGCACAGCTGCATGACAGGGCACAGACACAACTCAGGGAGCAGCCCGTGCCCCATCCCCAGCACCTCGTGCAATTTAACTACAGGCTTTGCCAGATTCGGGTACTGAAGCTCCCGCCCCTTGGTCACTCAGCTGGTCACTCACAGGCTTCCTTGAGCTTTTCCTTGTCATAGTTCAGTGCCTCATAGTCACGCATGCTGATTCGGCTCACCCGGATCCGCAGCCGCTCGGGCACTGGCTGCTGGCTGTGTGCAGGGGAGAAGGAGACGGAAGAGATCAGGAGGTGACAGACCACTCTCTCCTTATCTCCCTCATTCCTCCAAAACAAGCAAGAGCACAGTGTTCTACAGACTGGGTGGGGAGCTTGGCATCAGCAGCTTCTCCACCACCACGGTCTGGCCATATTTCTGTGACTTGATCCCTTCCCAGACCCTCTACAAAAAAGAGGATTGAAACACCTCCATGAGCCATGGACCAGTCCATCCCTTCCCCCTCCAACCCTTCTTCCCTGGAGAGAAGCTGGCAGATCGATCTGAGGAACCTACTCATTGAGCAGAGGCATGGAGTTGCGCCGCTTGGTCTTCTGCACCATGTTTGCTTGGTTGCGCAGGGAGATGTGGATGCAGGAAGCTGCCAGCTTGCAAGGTTCTCCATCCACCTGCATGGGGATGGCCTTGGATGTGGTGAGAACCACCTGCCGGCACTGACAGAGCCGCTCCCCATGGCCACCGACCTGCAAGGCAGCCTGTGAAAGGGTCCATTGTGAGAGCAGAGCATGGACTGAGGGGTGGATGAGGGGAGCACCCACTAGGAGCTAGATGTTTTAAGTGAACCAAGTTCTGAGGGTCTCAGGCCTGATTTCAGAGAGAAGGGACCCACAGAGGCCAGGGCATGACAGCACCTCACCTAAATGTCAGAGAGCAGACGCTGTCACACAGGCCAGCACCACAGCTTCTCCAGAGAGGATCTGTGGAGCTGGCTGACACCTGGTCAATGGGACCAGTCACTTCCTTAGTTGTTAGCTACAACTGGCAAAAGCACTGACTTACCAGGGATGTCATGGTGAAGCCAATAACTTCAATGCAACCATCATCATGGCGCTGAGGCTCGAAGTCGTGGTGCTCTCCAGGGTTGCCCCAGGGCATGGTGCCTGCACAGTACCTGTGAAAAGATGGTAAGAGATGCACAGACAGGCACCCCAAACCCAGGCAGGGATCTGCAGCACATGGGTGAGAAGGCCAGCATATGAAGACAGGTCCTGGGACTGCTCACCTTGGGATATTCAGGAAGACCAGGCACTGGGGCTTCAGGTCCTGAATCTTGGAGGTCAGGTCTGTCCCATCACACTGGAGACAATACAGAGGTGTTCAGGCTGCTTTAAGGGGGAGCCTGGTCCATCCTACCCACTTTGGAAGAAATGGCCTCCCTCCTCTGCTCCCTACAGTGACTGTCCTCCAAGTCAGAGGAAGCTGATGTCCCAGGAACATATCCACTCCCCAACACTGAGATACTCAGTGTGCCAAGGGACCTCTCCTCACATCTCCACAGCTCACCCCTTCACTGCACCAGAGCACCCCAGCATACTCACAACCAGCCTGACATGCTTTGCCAAGTCCTTGGAACTCCCAGTGAGGAAGTCAGAGAAGGCTGTCTGCCAAGGTAAGAGCCAGTGTTAGTGTCCAGATATTCACCGAAAAGGGCAGCCAGGAAGCCTGCCACTGACCTGCAGATCTCAGCTGCTGAAAACCACAAATCCCCTTTTCATGCACTGGCAGAAGCCCTCTGCTCTTCCTGTCCCAAAATGACCCGATACATTCCACTTGCTGTATTGCCTTCCAGAAACCCTGGGGCACCTTCAGTAACATGCCTCAGTATTCCCTTGCCAGCCCAGTCCTGGCTTCAGGGAAGAGCTGGCAAGGTGGGTCTCTGCTAGTGAAAGGCTCAAGTCACAAGAGACAAATTCAGTCTCAAGTTGTAAGGAAGCATCACAAACCAGAGCTGATGTGACACCATCTAGAGATACCAGGAGGGACAGTATGGGTCCCCTTTGGGTTTAACTGTACAGACAGGAAGAGAGATGCAAGCAGGCCAGATGTGAGATGATACAGAGCAGCATTTGGCCTTTAGTATGCTCAAGTACCAGCCACCCAGACACCTGGGTGGAAGGTATATTGAGGATGGGGAGACAGAGGAATAAAGGCAATGCTGAGACGCAATCTAGAGGTGAGATACAAGAAGGTGGTATAATTAGCCAGGGAGCTGTAACTGGCCCAAGATATAAAATAAAAGAACGAAGTAGTGTGGGGACTCTATGGAAAGGCTTCCTGTTCCTCTGCAGGGGGGACAGCCTGCCTCCCCACAGCTCTGGGGAGGTCCTGCCTGGGTGACCAACTGTCAGCCAGAGAACAAGAACAATAGTGGCAGGAGATCAAGACAGCAACTGTACTGCAGGCCATAGAGCAAGCTGTACTGCCAGCAGCACTCACAGCCAAAGAGGAGCTGTGACTCCCAGCGCTGCAGCCTTTCTCCAGCAATTCTCCAGCTTCAGGATGGGTGAAGGTCCATGTAACTTGGATGAGTGAGTTTAGGGGGCAGACAGGAGGCAGGTCCATGCCTGTGCTCCAGATGTTAAGGCTGCTATGAAGGCATGCTCAGATATCCTCCACACACTCACCCCAGCATAGAACATTTTATTCCGAAACCGGCTGTTGAACTTCTCTGGGTTGGCCTCTAGGGAAAGGAGAAAAAAGTTCAGGTCATTGGCCTGCACATGGAAATATTTCACTTGCCAGCTCTCCCCAGACATAGTTCTCCAGGCAGCCTTGGCCAGGAGTCAGACCCCAGCTCTCTTCCTGTGCAGGCAACCCCTCTTGCCGCTCTGCAGCCTCGAACTGCTCCTCATGTTTAACGTTCAGGCCTGTCTCTGGGGAAATCCTCTTGTTCACTTTCCTGAGGAACCCAAAAACAAGAACGGGTCCATCCCACAGACCCTGCCCAAGCCCTGCCACTGCCCTGTACCTCGGGATTCGTGAAACTCCAGCGTCACCCGTGCATCAAAGCCAAGGCTGAAGTAGTTATTAAAGACATCCAAAGGGAGCTGAAATGGAAAGGAGGAATAAGGATGAGACTGCCACTGTGTGGCCGTGGCAAAGATGAGGTCAGGTTACAGCAGAGCCACGTACAGTGCTCATGAGGCTGAGGGAGCCTGCTTGTCTTCTCCCCAGGAAAATACAGAGGTCACCAGCATGAGATGATGGATTGGTCCCTGGCTCCTAGGCCCAAGGGAACACACTCTGCTGTCTGAGATATCTGCAAATACCCATGTATCTGCTAAAGAAACAGTCTCAGAGGGGACTGGGTTTATACTTGTTGCAAGCTATGGTTAAAAACCTCTGGTAGACATTTAGTTCTGAACTCTACATGCCTTGCCATGAGCGCTGTGACTCAGAGCCATGATGAGAGCAGTGAAATTGCAGGAGGGAGAGAGAAACACCAACCCAACACTCTAGCCACAGGTGCTAGGGCTGCCTGAGCCAGTGGGAGAAAGGAGAATGCAGACCCCCAGCACAGGAAACAAATATGGAGAGGAGGTGTCCCACCTTGTCAGTGGCTGCCTCATCCTTTTCCTCAGGGTTTGTGTCAGGGTTTGGCTCCACATGGAGGTTCCAGCGATCAAGCTGCACTATGTTCCCATCTTCTACGTGAGATAGGATCTTGGACAGAGGCTCATCCGTGTAACCCTAGTGAAGAGAAGGACTTGCTGAGTCTCATGCCTGCCTCTCACAGAGATGCCCCAGAGACAGCAGGCTTTGGTAAGACATCAACTCTACTTGAATGCACAACAAAGTGGGACTTTAAATTTAAAACAATATATCTTCCTTCTAAAAATCTCCTGAAGTTTGAAATAGTGATTGCTTTTGTTAACATTCTACTAGACTATTATCTAATGCAGAACAATTCAAATGTTGGAAGAATGGTAACATCCAAATGGCACTTATTTGTTGATCTGTTTTTAAGGGAAGTCAAAACAGTAGCCCATGCAAAATCCCACCCATGTGTCTGGAAGAGGAGTTGAAGTGCTCAGCCCTTCTCTGTCAGCAGCGGGCTATTGTGCCCGTCACTTACCCCACCCCAATTCAGTGTTCTGGCCAAGTCATTCCCTGTTCCCAAAGGTAGAATGGCCACAGGAGGAGGTGGGTTGATCCGTAACTGGTCCAGAATGGAGAGTATCCAGCCCACCTGCTCAAGCAAGAGAGTGCAAAGAAGCGGTTACTTCAGGGACCAGCAAGCAGGCAGAGGTGGCTCAGAGCACTAGCGATGGCAGAGATGGGGTCCCCTTAGCCACCACCAAGGCTATTCACAGTCTTTAATGCTCCAAACAGGTGATGTAGGAGATACTAGTAACCCCAGTGAAGATATTGGCTTCCCAAAGGGCTACAAATCCAGATGTTACAGACTATCACTCCCTGAAGCAGTGCATGAGGGTACCCACAGTATCCAGTGCCAGAGTGCAGAGTTTGCCCCATTCTGGATTACAATAAGGAAGGGCTGCTTCCTGCACTGGAAGGGCATGAGGCAAAGGGCACCACAGGCACCAAGGGCCTGGGGGACTCACCGTGCCATCTCCCCCACACGCCAGGATCCGGAGGTTGTGGACTTTGCGGTACAGCTCCAGCCTGCAGGGAACGGGGAGGTTAAGGAGGGAGGGAAGAAGTACTGAAGGTGTTATGCAGCAGCTGCCTCACAGAGCCCTTGGCATTCGCAAAGTGTCTCCCTTCCCATTGCCACAGGTGTTCTCAACAGTGGGCAAAGCCACAGTAACTTTGGTTTCACCAGCTCTTGCATAGGAAGAGTGGGGTGTCCACAGGCTGCACACACATAGATAACCCAAGCAAGGAGACAAGACTCACACAATGTTAATTAAATATAAGGAACTAAATCTGGGAACCTCACCCCATAGATAGTCTCTTTGCCACTAGCCTTAAGACTAGACCAGCCCTCCAGCAGGAATCACCGACGGACCACAAGCTATCCTAGAGAGGCCTCTCAAAATATTGGAGGTCTCTTTGCAGGTGGGAGCTATGGAGCATCAAGCAATCTCTGGGGCAGGGATGGAGGAGAGAAAGATGCTGCCTCCATCAGTACTCACGCCTCCTTGGGTCCACCTTGGCTGAGGTCAAAAACTTGCCGTGGATTGAGATACCACATGAAGGACTGGATGATCTTGGCTCCCTATGGGGAGAAGAAAGACAGCAGGTAACAGAGAGTTCCCAGTGGACAGTGGAAGAAGGCATCTGGTCCTGGGGACAGCCCAAGACAACATCATTCTGAGAGGCACAGAGGCAAAGCCTGGCCTAGGTAGGAGCTGCTGGGCAGAAAACTGGCATTGTGATGATTGCCGTGCCTTTTCTGCAGCTGAGACATCACCAAAACCATGATGAGACCTTGGCAGTCAAATGGCAATGCCCTCACGGAGGTGCCTTCTCAGGGAGATACTGGGCAAGGCCATACCTGATTCCCACCGCTCTTGGGGTTCACAAACACCAGTAAGGGCTTCATAAGAGGAGCTGGCATGGGCTTGATGACAAAGGGTTTCCACCTCCCTTCCTGCAAGAGACACCATAGGTCCTTCAACAAACCTGGGAAAATGCAAACTCCCACCTCCAGCTGAGCCCTAACATCACACAGGTCAGAAGGGTGAGGAAGAGAACATCCCAGTCACCCCATAAGCCTCATAGCTGGAATATACCCTACCAGGAGGCATCCTCCCTCCAGCTCAACTTCCTTAACCTCAGCACAGACGCAGCAAAGCCCCCTTTGTTTCCCAGCCCTGCTCCTCACTGTTCAATCCCTCTGCCCTTCCAAGACAAGGTTATTCCTTGTCCCCTGATCTCTTACCTCGGCCCCCTTTTTGCTGGATTTCCGCTTGAATGATGTCCTCTTCTTCTTCTTACTAGATTTTAGTGGATTCTAGAGACAAAAGAAATAAACATAGCAACTCTGTAAGGAGCCACTGGGCAAGTGGGAGTTGTGAGAGAGCCACAAGAGCCAAGATGACTTACCTGGGGCCGTCGGACCCGCAGAATCCAGGTGGGAGGAACGACGACAGCAGCATGAGCCCCCAGCGAGCAGGGCTCTTCAATGTGTTGCAGCATGAAACATGACACTTTGCTGTGATACTGGGGAATGAGAAGACAGAGAGAAAACTCAGCTGCTCAGTTTTCTGGGGACAGCCACTATCTCCTCCCAGCTCCCACAAGCCAATACAAGGAGTGCTGAAGGAAACCATACAGAAATTTTGTAATGGGAAGGCAATGAAGAGAAAGTTTCTAGAAGGAGTTCACAAATACCACAGTACAGCCTCAGTCAGCAGGAGGAGCTGTTAAGGGTAGGCTGCAGAGAAGCAGCCTGGGGAGTCTCAGCAGAAAGCAGAGGTCATTAGGTGCAGAACAAGCTGGTCAGGCATTCTATGGGGGCTTTGCTCACCGCTTGCTTGCACCAGGAACAGCTGATGGCTACAATCTCTTTACTGTGGAAGGCAAACTTCTGCTGAAAACCCTGTGGAAGAAAGGATAAGAGGCTTAGGGAATTCCCTCAGGGTTTTCTACCTTCCAACAGGACTTTCCCACCACTAAGAGAGACATTAACAAAGAGAGCATGTCTGCAGCTGGAGCCCTCTAGATCCCTGTCAGATAGCCCCAACCACCACTATGGCACCAGGGAGGTCACTGTGCTCCGCAGGGGTGTCCTTAATGCTCAAAGAAAGCATGACAGGAAGACAGTCTCCTCCAGGATTGATTGGGCCCAGGGGGAAAACTACTCTATGTGGGAAGCACTTATGTAGTGCTTCACTGAGCAAAACAGAGCACGTGCCTTGGTTTTACTGCCAAACAAGAATGGTGGGATGTCCCTGGTTCCCAGCCCTGTTCTTGTCTCTCATTTGACCTTAGATTTCCTGAGGCTGAGAAAAACACCCCAAGATACCCTCTCACCTTGCCACACTGCCGGCATTTCCCTTCCTGCCGCCTCCGGTGCACCCAGTGATGCCGGACAACGATGGGCTAAAAGGGAAAACAAAAAAAGAAAAGAAAAAAAAAGGGGAATGAAAGGCCCAGCATGTGAAGGAATGCAGGAACAGGCAGAAATAATGAATCCAAGCCACCCAGGACCACTGGTCTTGCAGCAAACCCACTGCTTACAGGCACCAGCCCCAACCCTCTGAGAAAAGGCAAAGCCAAAGAATTGGGGGCATGAGGCCAAATTAAGATGCTCAGAGAAAAGGGAATCAAACCAAGAAGAAACAGGAAGGAGGAGAGGGAAATTGAAGACTGAGAATCACAGAAAGCAGACCCAAGAGACAGGGGGCAAGCAGTAGCACATCTCAGTCCCTTAATGTCTCTGTCAAGATGCCCCTAGTGCCAGGTGAAAAACCTGCTGGTGGAAGGTGTGAAAATCCCCAGGGAGACACAGTTTGTTGCCATAGAAAGACAGAAGTGCTTGGAGCTAAGCAGAGAACCTATCTTCCTCTAGGACAGCGGCAGACCCAAAGCCCCCCACACCCACTTCTCCCTGCTCTTTGCCCCAGGGCAATCCTGCAGCCTGCCTCAGCCCCAGGGTGGGCAGCAAGCAGGCACCTCCACCCTGCCTGCAGGCTCATGGTGGGAGAGGGCTGGGACTTGCAGGAGTCACTTGCAGTGAGGGACTCAGAAGTTTTGTAAGGAAGCACCACATATCCTAAATCCCACCCTACTCTTCCAGCCCTGGATTAGGAATGGCACTGCAGAGAGTAGCAAAAACAGAAGAGGGAGTGAAAATTCACAGGCTGTGGCAGGGCCCAACATCCTGCTCCTGACAGCTTTTGGGATCATGATGATAGAGGTACAAACTGGCAGGAGATTTGGGTCAGCTCCAGTGTTGCCTGCTCTGAGTGCAGCACACTGGAGAGGACAGAGAGACCTGTTGGCTTTAGCAGACATGAATCTAGTAGGAGCAGAAGGGGGGCTATGCCTTGAGCTCAACTTTAAGTCCCAGCAGGCACATCTAGGGGAAGGGCTGACCCCGAATGAGATCCCTGGCACCACAAAGGCCAGAAGAGCACACTTCTAGGGAAATGGGAAGGAAGAGGCCTTGAAGGAACTGAGAAGCATTAGAAAGACAGGATGGAGAAGCAGAGTTTGAGAGAAAAAAAGAAAAACCAAGAAAGGGGAGAGAAAATTTGTAGTGTTTGGACAGAAGAAAAATAGAGACAGAAGATCGAGCAGAGGCAGACAGCTGTCAGCAGAGCCCCACAAATAAGTGAAGCACAAATAGGTGAGCTAGGCTAAGAGTGATATGGGAAGGAGATACGGCAGGAAGAGCAAAGCAAGAAAGGAAGGTTTAAAGTGATGCTGAAAGCTTTGCTTTCTGATGTCACACTGGCATTTGAAAGCAGGCAGCCCTGTGTTTGAATACTCTTCCCCTACTGCATCTGCTGTGCCAGCACAAACACAGTGTGGGGGCAGCTGTGTTACCATTATGGGCCATGACTGAGCCATCCACACCCACTCCAGAGCACTGCATGGGCTACACTGGCTCCATAGGCTGGAGGGTGAAACATGAAGGCTGACAGTTGCTTCCATCAGTGCAGCTCAGCAGACAGGTCCCAGGCCACCTCTTACACCCAGTACCTTAAAACATGGGCTAAAGTGGTCTGATAGCACCACTGCAGGCATCTTCCACTGCTACCTGCAGTACCTGTGACACTCCAGTCAGGGCTGAGTGACAAAGCAAGAAATGAGCCCACACTGCTTCCTTCCAAATTGCAGACTTGGGAACCTGCTCTTTGCAATAGCCCTGTCTATTGTGCCTGGGGACCAACATGAGGGCGAAAGTTTATTCCAGAAAACAGTCTGCAGGTTCTCCCCATGCAGGTTCAGGAACTTCAGAACATGCAAGTCATCATATGCTTTACATTCGTTGTCTGCAAGCTCCCCACTCCTCACACTCAGTCTGCACTGCTGCCTTGCAAAGAAACATTCCTTTTACTGCACCACCCCCATGGAGCAGGAGGCAGCATGATGCCTGAACTCTGATGGGCAAGATGCTGGCAGCATCTGGTGTCTTTGTCACCACACTGGAAAGGGCAGAGGTAGAAGTGGGCAGTGTCCGAGGCACATCTCTCACCTCTCGTATGTTCCGGGATCCTGACTCCCTGAAGGAAGGTTTGCAGCGGAAATTTATCTGTAGATTGAACACACATGAGAGGAATCAGTAAAACCATCATACCTCTGGCAATCTACTGGAGTTTACTATACTACAGCAAGGCCCAGAACTTCTAGAGCTGTTTGGTACTTGCTGCAAAACCCTCACATATCTCTGTTACTGAACAAAATGGGGCCAAGGGTCCCAATCGTGTCACTCCTTTTGGTACTGTCTCCTCAGAAGACCCCTCTTTGCAATTACACACTGCAGTTTCCCAATCTTCTTGTGTTTTATTGCCAAAAAGGAAGGGCTGTTACAGTTTTGTGAGCTGCAGAGAGGGCTCAACAGGCTCTACTCACTTTCTCCAGCTGTTCGATGCAGGGTGTATGCACTACAATCTTGCAGGCTGCGCACTTACGCCTGGAGAGCGGTTTTTGCTGCAGGATAAGAAAAGGGGAAGAAAAACATGCATGTGAGTGAAAACACGCAGTGTTCTGAGGCTGGCAAACTCAGCCTCCCATCATACCTCCTTCATATATATTGGGATACAGAACACTCCCCATAGTAAAGTTAGACACAGCCTAGACTCCTTGCAAGTGAAGGGATCTAAGCACGTGCCTACAGAAGATGCTCTCAAGCCTGGCACAGAACAGAGAGGTATTTTCCCCACTGTCCTGTCCTGCAGTTCTTGGCCTCTTCTGACACTGCCTGAGAGCACCATGGCAGCTGGTTTGGGAGGCACCTGCAGGGCTCCCCCAGTAAACCCCATGGGCAGGCACAGTCACATCACCGCTCCATCCTACATCATAAGTAGGACTGAACCTGCAAGCTGGGAGGGAGGACTGCAGCAACCCTGTAAGAACAGCGCTGCCTGCAGGGGCCTGGGTCTCCAGCACACATTTTTCTCCTCTATTGAAAGGTCTTGGATTCAGATTATCCTTATAAGGGTGTGGGATCCTAACACCCTCTCCCTGGAATACTCTGGGCAAGTGGCAGCCCTGCATCAGGTTCCTATTGCAAACTGAGCACCAGCACTGGCAGAAACTACAGACTCAGCCCTCCAGTGTGCAGAGGCAGGAGGGCACACTGCCTGCCTTGGCAGCTCCCCAGACCTCTGCATGTCCCCCAGCAGCAGCAGTACAGACTCTATTGTCACTCATCACACGACAGCCCAGCCTGCATCTTCAGCCTTTACTGGGGAGGTGGGTGATCCCAGGTGACTCACCAACAGCTTTGCCATGCAGTTCTGCTCCCCAACGTAGCAGAAGTCCCCAGAGACACTGGTCTCAAACCAGATGTGCTCCCCATATATCGCAGTCTCCTGAAAGGCACAAGACAACACATTTCTCTGAGAGCACCCCCAGACAGGCAACCGAGCCCCTAAAATGCTTTATGCAAGGGACAAGATACTAGACAATGCTAGGGGGTAGGAGGTTGGAGCTAGGGGTAGGCCAGGAGACAAGATGCACACAACAGAGAGGGACACCATCTGGACAGAGGAAACCTCACAAAGCTGCTGCCATGGCCAATTTGTTGGAAATGAGAGGGCCCCAGGAAACTAACTCCTACATCCCGGTTGCAGTGTCCTGCACAGGGGAGCTGATTCATCACCCCCTGAGAGGAGGCATCGAGACAAATTCAGTGCAGGGAACTCTCCTGAACCAGCTTCTGCTCTACAACCTCAGGATGCAGCTTAAAGCCAGCCGGGCTTTGCCTGCAAAGGAGCAGGGACTTGCTCCTTGTTGCTTGGCCCCAGCCATCAGATCTCAGCTGTCAGAAGCAGAAGAACTGGCAGTGGAGTAATTATGTCATACTCCCAGGAACCACTTGTGTCTGCACAGCTTCTCCTTGCAGCATCAAGCAGTGCTGCCAGCAGCACAGACATCGGCACCAGCTGGTGGCAATGGCAGAGGCCACAAATGTGTCAAAGTCAGTCACCTGGGAAGCCTCAACCTGGGAAGAGCCTTCTGCTTCTTGGCTGGGAGCCTATTCCATGCAATGCCCAGCAAGACGAGCTACAACTTACGCTCCAGTCCACAGTGCTGCGTATCTGCCTCTCCGAGTCGCTCCTCAGGGCTAGTGCAGGGTTTGGCTGGGCTATCATGTGCTGGAGGCTGGATTTGGCAATAGCTTTCCTGGAAGACACAAGGAGGCTGGCTATTAAATCAAGGTAGGAGGAATAACAATCTGCTTCTAAGATGCAATGTCAGGCTGGAGCAGACAAGCTTCCTCAAGACCAAGTGGCAGGAAATGAGGCGCATCTTGAGCACAGCTGGCTGAGGAGTGCCTGTTCCTATGAGACAGCTCTGTGGGATGAAGAGGTGCTGCCCACGTTGCTGACAGCTCAGCTAAAGACACCTTGTACCCAGCAAAAGGCACAGCCCGGGCCTGCTGGGTCAATGCCCTTGGGGATGACAGTTCCATTGCAAAACACCCTGGGAGTCTCCAACAAGCTGTGGTGGTAAGGCTGCCTTTGCAGGGACAATCCAGAGCCCCTGGCCCACAGAGGCTCCCCGTAGCTCTCCCATACTAAGGCACCTCAGAGTCTGGGGTTCTTGCCTGGACCAGCACAACCAGCCAGAATAAAAGCTGCTGTTTGTTTGGGGCTAGCGAGCTTCTCCCAGATGCGCTACGGTGGAGGAAAGGAGCAGGTGATCCAGCTAGCAGGAGAAAGTGTGCACCTCCAGCCCACAATCAGGCCTGCCATCTCCCTCTGGCCCCAGTCTGGCAGGAGAGGACAACTGCAAGCTCCAGGGGCTGCACTGAAAGCATCAGCAGCAGCACTGGCCCGAGTGGAAGATGCTCAAGGTATGCCAGCAGCACTGCAAAACACCAGTGGTAACCAGGGCCAAAGGCACTGAGTCCCTTCCCTCCTTCCCCACCAAGCCTGAGTCTGCATCCAATTTCTCCCCTCCCCAAGGCACTGATTGCCCACTTGCACGCTGTCGCCATACATACAGCAACCGGGGGCTCCAGCCATCCGGGGCAGCGTAGCAGGTGGACTCCGGTCCCAAGCCCTCGGGGAAGGTGGCAGAGGGGCACCCGGCTCTGGCCACCCCTGCACAGTGTTGGGCCAGCAGCCGTGGGTGGTTGGAGGGGAGCAGCCCAGGTCGGAGGGCATCGCTGGAGCGCCGGCGCTGGCTGAGGCGGCGGTAGCGGCCTGGCAGGCCGTAGGCAGCCCGGCTGTACACAACCTCGGTGGGCAGGTAGTGGGAGGAGGAGCGCCGCAGGCAGCGGGGGCCTCGTGACAGCAGCCCCCCCTGGAGCGGCCGCAGCTGGGGCAGCATGGCCAGCCATGTCTCCTCAGCCCAACGCTCATGCTGGCCCTGCTCAGCTTCTGCTGCTGTGCCACCATCCTCCAGAGACTCGGATCTGGAGCTGTCAGCATGGGGAGCCCTGTTCTCCTCCTCTCCCATGGGAATGAGGCTGGCCAGGAGGACAGAGGGACCCAGCAGTTGGGCATCAATGGCTTGTGCCTGGCCCCCGTGCTTTGCCTGCACAGCAAACCTGGGGCTGAGGCAGGGTGGTGTGGTGCTGGAGCGTCGGCGGGTGCCAGGACGCCGGACCAGGCCCAGGCAGGAGAGGGATGCCTCTGGAGTGCCTGAGCCGCGGCGGCGCTGGGCCAGCACGGTGGAAGGCAGCCCCACCTGGGAGCGACGCCTGGCCTTGCCTGTGGGCACGGCCACCACGCTGGTGTGCCGCGGCCTCTTCCGTCCAAAGTGCCGCCTAAAAAAGGTTTCCATTGCAACTGGATGGTGGCTGTTCAAAGAGAGACCAGGAATTAAGTAGGCTCCCCCATGGGTCCCCAGGCCAGGCTGTGGGGTTCAGGGCAAGGAGTCAAGAGAAAGCAGGGAACAGAGGGCTGAAGCGGGGAGTGGGGGACATGGCAATGCTTCCTGGGGCACGTAGCAGGGTCCTGCTCCCCACAGCTCTACTGCTCCCTGAGTTTCACTGCTCAGCCCAGGGGGCTGCGATGGCAGGGCAAGTGTTCCCACCTAACTGGGACCCTCTGCATTCCCTGCTCTCTACTGTGGGATCAGCAGAGACCCTGCACCCCAAGGTGCCAATCAGCCCTGGCACCTCAACTACCCCCACTGCTTTCCTGATGCTGGTCCATCTGGTTTCCCCATAGGAACCATTCTGGCTAAGCACCAGTCCCACCAAATTTGCAGCAAACTGAAATTAAGCCCTTGTGAATCCTACAGAAGAAAATGATCCAGGCAAGTAAAAGCAATGCAGGTAGATTTCGTAGATCTGGCTAGCTCCAGTGCTTCCCTCTTCCAGAGCTAGTGCTTCGCTTCCCACCTTCTAGCTGCCATCTCTCTTCAACTGCTAGAGAGGATTTATTCAAAGCCAATTCAAAAAAACCCCACAGTTTGGTAGAAGCAAACTTCTGGCTCTTCAGCTGCTCCCAAGGCAGGGGACTCTGGATCATGGCAGCCTGCAAGCACACATAAGCCACCACCACCACTCTCAAGGATTTCAGTTCTGTACAAGGCATTTCCTCTACCCACCACAGGGTATGGGCATGCTGCTCACCACTACGCTAAGACTGACATCTGCTCCACTTGCTTCTATCTTCCTCCCTTCTTATGCTTTTTTACACACTCACTTGCAGGTCAGCAATACCAGAGAATCTTCAGGAGAACACCCTGGCCCAAACTTTTAAAAGTCCCAAGGCCTACACAAACAGGCAACCTTGTCAGAAGCTTCTTCCCTTTTTATTTGGGAAATGCTGTAAGATGGGACATATTTTATTTTCTGGACAAACTAGAGTTTTTGATAGTGCTTGTAGCACTAGAGGCTGTACATTTTTTTTTTTTTAAATGAGTACAAAGCCGACTTTATATTTTTGGAAAAGACTAGGCTTTGTTTGGATTCCTCCAGCCTGGTGGGCAAGGAAATCGGCTCTTTAGTTTGTACAATCTCATCACCATGCCTGTACTCAGTAATGTAGCACAAAGAGAGAAGGAAGGAAGGACAGCAATGGCCTCCAGAGAGCAGCATCAGGGCAGCTAAAGCCTAGCTGAACTGAAAGCAAAACCAAAGCGTCACCTCTTCAGAAGTATTTCCTCAAGTCCCACCACCGCAAGCAATGCAGGCAGGCACTTGGTCACCAGAAGGTTCAATCCACTGAGGCCCACGCAGCTTTGCAGATGGCAAAAGCACATTTCACTGATGACCCTGATTCCAGCCTGTCCCCAACACTATAGTGCTTCATTCCTGTCTGCTCCCCCCATTGTCTGCAGGACGATGCACAGTAAATTGCATAGAATCTAAGAATCCAGACTTCCCCCGTACAACTTGAGGCCATTTCCTCTTGTTCTATCACTTGTTACTTGGGAGAAGAGACAGACACCACACGTTGCTACAACCTCCTTTCAGGTAGCTATAGAGAGCAATAAGGTCTCCCCTGAGCCTCCTTTTCCCCAGGCTAAACAACCCCAGCTCCTTCAGCCGCTCTTCCTATGATTTGTCCTCTAGACCCTTCATCAGCTTCATTACCTTTCTCTGGACATGCTCCAGCACCCCAATGTCCTTCTTGCAGTGAGGAGCTGAAAACTGGACACAGGATTTGAGGCGCTGCCTTACCAGTGCTGCAGCATACAGGAAGACAATCACTTCCTTAGTCTTGCTGGCCACACTATTTCTGATACAGGTCAGGATGCAGTTGGCCCTCTTGGCCACCTGGGCACACTGCTGGCTCATGTTCAGCCGGCTGTTGACCAGCATCATTACCAACAGGTGTTAAAAGTTGTCTGAACAAATAAAACATTAAAAAACGCAAGTGAGAATGCTGCTTGGATGTGGCACACTGCAACAGATCCTTTTTGGCTGGCTTTAGCTGCTAGGGGAGACATAATGACCAACTGCACCCCTGTTCCAGATACTCCACTAGCATGAAGCTGCTGTGGGCAGGAAGATCTCTCAACACAGCTTCCTTCCTTTTTGCACCACAGTCTCGTGAGGAAATCTGCTAGAACAACCTTGGCTTGACATTTATGTTTGAGTACTAGCTGATTACCAGCCTTTTTATCTTCAGGGCTGTCTGTAAGTGGCACACGGCCTCAAGCTCCAACCACCAATGGTGAAGGTTATTACAAGACAACCCTCTGACAGCCCATGACAGCAGGACACGGCAACTCAGATATGTTGGGTGAACATATCCCCACCTCTTGCATCTTACTTCCAACCTGAGCTCCAAATGGTGTACTGCAGGTGTTGAGAGCTGCTGCTGGCAGAGCAGATGGACAGACTGTCAGGGGTGCTCAGGGTTGATATGCATCAGCAGAGCTGCATGCAGAGCAGCCAGGGAACCACGCACTGGGCAGAGAGGAGCCTGAGAGGAGCTAAGCCCTGGAAGCCGCTGGCCAAACAGCAGCACACTTCTGGGATCTGCACTTTTTGCCACTGAGAAAAAGATGGAGAAGAACTAGCACCTGTGGCTGCTCTGCAGACTGCATTGCTCAGCTCAGTTAGGTAAGGAGGCTGGATGGAGGCAGCCTGGCATTTGCAGGGTACAAAGGAAAGGAAGTACTGCTGCGTACACTAGGATATCAAATCTACTTATGAGCAGATACGCACTGCCATTTCAATCTCCTCCTGTGAATTAGGAAAGAGACAGCAGCTCTAGTCTGCTCATGATTTTCAATCAGAGCTCTTGGGAGGTGTTTTTTTTTTTTTTGATAACGAGAGCCCTCAAAGTCTCCTACACTCCCATCCTGGTCTCAGTGGGCAGAGACACTGCTGAAGCAGGAACATGTCCTCACAGGATCTAAATGCCCTTGGAAAGTACAGCAGGGATTGAAGAGGAAAAACTTGCATCTTGTAACTTCAGTGGACACGGAGCTCATGGATCAGCTGATTCAGAGACATCTCTCCAGACATCCAGCAGCCATCCCTCATGTGGTGGTGGTAGTCCTAAAATCAGACAGGCTCACTCTAGGGCTAAACATGCAGTGTCCATCATGGTGTAACCTCTTGTCCCCATCAGCAGGAGCACCTGGATATCCAGCTCCATTATTCTGCTTTGCTTCACTAGCCTCAAGCAAACTCCCATATACTAAACTGAACAGGCCCTCTGTGCCCGTAGATACATAGAGTGATCTTGTGCCATATGCCTGCTTGGCCCTTT